GAAAAAGAAACGACAACGTTTAGGAATGAACAATTTGTGTTCTACAGGGAAAAAGACTAATGAAATTGTGTATTCTAAATTTAGTGCTAAAATGTGCTAAACGACTTTAGTTTTGTATACACCGATAAATATTCAAGATAACAAAAAGAAAAGAGAAAGAATATTAAATTTCATTGTTGGAATGAACAAAATTATACGGATACGAAGAAGAGGGCACGTGTATATATATACAATGCTGCTCGTCTCTATGGAGTTTTTATTATATCTTTATTGTTTGAAGTAAACTCGATTACATTAATGACAGAGAGATGGATTACTTGTTAGAATTTTGTATCGTTTTGTATTATTACTTTGTATGCTAAAAATATTCTCAAATTATTATTGTGCAAGGAGCAAGAAAATAATGTATCCCTATGTGTCTTTGTTCACACAAAACATTATTTTACATATGCGCGTTCGCGTTTCGTCATGAAAATGAACTAGGGACCGCGTGTATAGAAGTATACATGAGTTAATGAATTTTTTCTTTGATAGTTTAAATAAATGAGAAAATTTAGAACACGAATCGAAATTGTGTTCAACGTTTGGAGAGATCTCAAGGGTTTATCCGGTGTTAACGAACGTCTCGTCGTTCTTCCATTCTGTTTCGCGACAATACCATAGGGCTACAATGTTTTTTGATTTACGTTCTATTTACGTTAGATTACAATCTGAATATGTACAACCAACACAACATGCAGTGACAGGTTGACGAGTGTATGATAGGATGAGTCCAACGGCATAAGATGGATCACGCATTGAGTACAGAAATGACGAGTGATAATATTAAATATTGATTGAAGTGGCATGTGCTTTCGCCAGTGCGGTATCAGATGTGCATAAAAAAAAAAACGGCTCCCTAATCCGGCATGGAACACAGGTGTGCGCGCGCGCGTGTATGTTCTTTGTATAAACGCGGATAATTATTCAGAAAAACGTGTGTATAATCTGCGTCTTATACAAGCGACAGTATGCATGTGTTGTAATATCAGAATCCCGATTAAGCCATCCACGAATAACTTTGGGTAGGAAACCGGCTGTTAAAGCGCGACCGCAGAATCAATTTCAATGAAGAAAATGTTTGCTCAAACGTAGGCTGATTATCTTGTAAAGGCGAAGTTCTGTTACATTAGACAATTAGCAATTCAGAAAAAAAAAAAGAGAGAGAGAGAGAGAGAGAGAGATGAAGGAAGAGTGTGTCGCTTTAATTTTGATCGAGAACATCACGATATCAATGAACGGAGGATATCTTGAAAGGAACACGAAGGTTATTCGTGCGATGGGTTAAATTATTATTTAGTATACGCAGGCATAGTCACTCAAGAAGTTCAATTTATTTTTTGCTTTCTAATACTGAACGATTTTGCAAACGGTTTTTATAGTTACAGTCAGTGGAAATAAGAATCTTGCTAGAGTGTAAAGTCGAGAGACGGAAGAGACGGTTTTTTAAAATATGATAGTAATATACTTTCTATAATAATGTAATGTATATCTAGCTACAACAGTGAAGAAAAAAAAAACGAAAAAAAAGAAGAATGTTAACACATAAGTACCTGGCACACTGGTCTATGCTCTCTCTTATCCAGCTCACTAGGAAGTTTAATGCCTTAGAATGCGTGGTAAGGTGTGCTACATAGACAGGAAGGTTAATCAGAGAGTCAGGGGAAACACACAAAATGCACTGGCTAATTAAAATATATACAAAGATACTGTAGTCTTTACTAGTTTAAGAGAACTTCGTTTTAATTTATTTTGCTACAGATCTAAACAACACCTCGTACCACCATTTTGTCGTATCGATATTTGAGTGTGAACGCAATTCTGACAAGAAGAGGGAAAAGCAAAAGGCGTATCGAGCCATATACTTCAGCTCTGTTCGTGCTCCGCACTTTTAACAGAGAATGATTCTGACGTAACACGATGATGTGCAATTGATGTTAATGAAAGACTAGATTTTTCGTACTTAATAACGAGCAGTAGACGAGAAAAAAAGTAACGTAATTTTGAGTGAATCTTGGATATCTTGATTGGCTTTTAAATATTTCAATCGTGGAGGAGTAAAGGTCAAATAAAGCCTAGCAATGATTCTCGTTTATAAACAGATATATTGTAAACTTCGTTAAATGGATAGTCGATATTATTACTTCAGCGAAGGCATCAATCTTTCTCTGCGATCGTCGCATCCCTGATTGAAACCATTTGTGTACTCTAAATTAATTAATAATACTAAACTGATATTTATATGCTATTGCTTTGTGCATTTTTCATCACGTTGGGCTCTTATTTGCCTTCACTTTTCCGTAATTTAAGCGAACGCTAGGCTTGTTATTTTCACCGCACTCTGTCACAGGCTCCACTCTTTAACCTTCGTGTACTTGCATAATGTGTTATCATTATCGTTAGCTTTTGTTGTCAATTCCGTAAACAGAGTAACACGTATGAAGACTGCTGGAACTGAATATTACCTGTTATTTGGATATACCTAAAAAAAAATTAAAAAAGAACGACATAACGTTGAACAAATTAGGGTTCAAGTCACACCGATTATCTACGAACGGATATACTTCCCTGTAATATTTGTTACTAAATAATCTCCTTACGTGACTACTGTTCGGTACATTCTCTCTACATATCTAAATCTGAGCACGCTTCAGAACGGCAAAATGATTATGTCAATTAAAAATTTATTTAACCCTAGGACAGTCTAGAACAACATATTGTTGCAGTATCTTGCACAAAACGAAAACGATTGTTGGAAAACGTATGTATTGTAATTTGTAAGATGCTCAGAATTATACAAATTTTTCAATACATAAAAAAAAACATGTATTTGTATAGGATACCTTAAAACAAGATTTTATATACTTGCTGAAATTGCAACTTATTCACTGTTTTATAATAAATATATGAAACATTGGTTTTTTTTTCTTTTTTTTAACGAAGACTGCTCTGTCGACCTACTTTCTAGAATTCAGAGTTCGCGCTCATAAATATAGTTGTATATAATATTTTAATGTACCGAATGATATATATTTGTATTGTACGAAAGCTGCATATGTTTAATTGAAACCGCCAACGTTTTATATTTTGAATTAATGCAAAGTAGCAAAGCTTACGTGAACAAGCACTTTATTTCTCAAACACACATTTATCTCACAACGATATAGTTTGTGAATATAAAATATCCGTAAATGGTTATTGATCATTTCGCTTATAATTAATTGTTAGGATTAATTAATCTTCAGTACTCTACGAAGAGTGTCTTACAGTACTTATTTTATTATTATTGCTTTTTTTTCTTGTAAATCGAATGTTTGAAACTTTTTCAGTTTCTAGTCGGTCCTAGGGCTAAATCAAAATTAGTCAAAGAAGAGAAATAGAGCATGTAAATAATAAATTAACGCTTTTTGTATCGACACAAACTTCTGGTACAGAATATAACGAGTAAAAGATACGCATACCTTCGCAAAATTAAATGAAAGTTTATTGACGAAGTAACGGAAGCACATCGGTCAATGCAGATTTTTATAACGTGTATAAAAGGAATTACAAGTGCGTGAAAACATGTACTGTCCATAAACCCGACATCTATTTGAATGAAAAACTAATATGTATGCAAGAATAATTTCGTATTGTATTTTTGAAATTAGTTTATTGTTTATCAATTTTTGTTATTTTTATTGGAAAAAATTCAAGTATTAGCGGAGAGTGGATAGTGCTACTTGTAAAATTTGAAATTAGTTTCCAAGCTAGAAGCCTCGACAAGAGTTTCAGAGGTTTTTCGTAAATTAAGCTTTAAAAACGAAAATAAATTATAAAGCATTAACGTCGTTCAATCTAATTTGAGATTTAATTAATACGAAATAATGATCTTGCTTGACATTTAAAATTAATTTCAATTTTCGATAACAATATGTGATTATTTTCCTTAAATCTGAAACAATTAGATTTTTGTTCGTTATTATTCGGTTTACTAACTTATAATTTTACGAATAAATTTAAATGATACGATACTAATTTTACTTAATATAATACACTTTTCTTCCCAGGTTTATAATATAATTACAATAGATTTTCGATTAATTCTTTTACATGATATGAAAATATATCAAACAAAATTTTGTTTTTTAATATCTGTATTGAACCATAATACATTGTCATATTATGACTGATCTTAACAAAAAAACTTGTTTATTTTAGTTATATTTAATGTTTGATCAAACGACGTGGATGGTTTAATAACGATATTTACGATGAGTATGATGATTATGATATTACGATTATGATGTAATGTAATTTAAGCTCATGGTGTTTCGTTCGGCCATTGAGATAAATCGATTGAGAATCATCGATTGTTGCGTGATGGCTTTATAAGAACATGATATAATTATTATTGATCTTTATTCGTCGATCATAAGGAAAAAAAACAATGTTAATAATAATAAGTATATTTGTAACTCGGAGCATATACCATGCTAAGGAAAAAAAAGAACTTCTCTCAATATGGAAAGGTGAGCACAGCCAAAGTGTTGCCTAGTACAAATATATTGTAAAAAAAAATGAATTGTTGTTTAAATGAGCCGAAAGTGCTACTTGCGTTTTGCACGGATTTATTTCGAGATATACTTATCGACGTCCTTGATCTTATGAGTTTTCTCATTATCTTACCTCTCCATAGTGAGAATATCCTGTGTAAATTGTTAAAACTTGTGGTTTTACACGCGCAGTTAGTTGTATTCTGATTTAACCGCATAATATTGTATGTACTTATTCCACAATAACAATATGCACCTTTATTTTTGTCATAAAGGATAAATGGAAAAAATGTACCTTTTTATATTACTATTAAGGCGCCTTACGTAAATAAACTTTTTAGAAAACAAGATTGATATCCTGCAATTTTTAATACGCATTGTACACGCTTCGTTTTAGTACATTCAAAATATTTGTTAAAAATTATATTTTAAAGATAAATACGTATAATTAATACAAGTTTTATCTAATTAATATAATTATTATTTAATAAAATTGATAGAAATTTTAATTAATAAATTTAATCAATTCTTTTTTGGCAATTATTAAGATTTCGAAATGCGGTTTTTACATTAATAATTACAATTTATCAATGTAAATTCAATGCAATTCGTTTAAATATTTTGCATTATAAAATATAACAGTTCTTTTTAAAATATTATCATTTGATAATTCAGCAAAAATTATTTAAAATATTTTATTGGTGATAATAGTTTTCTACTCAATAAGTGCTTATATAATAATTGCCTAATTATTATATTTTCTGTAGCTAATAAAAATAATTAAATTGATTATAACTAAACTTTTCTCAATTAATTAAAATAATAAATAAAATTCCATACTAGGATGATAACTTTTTCGATAACAAAATATTAAAAGCATGAACTATTATTTTCATAGAAAAGACCAGCTTTTAATAATTTTTGCTACATTTCATACACATGCTGGCACCATACAAGTCACATGTGTAGTCGCAGATATGTTCTTATTTACATAAATACATGCAATATCATACGCTCATTTTCTTAATTGTCAACAATATTACGTAAAACAAAATACTCATCCCACGCAATTAAATTAAAATTACTTTCTCATATATGTACAAATTGTCTATAAAAATTGTCATGATTATAAACCCATATATTGAGGGGAAGAGGAAAAAGTACTTCTCGTGGAATTATTTTTTCTCGATTCCTCAGCATTAGGATTATCACTGAAAATAAAAACTGATGATTATATTTTGGCAGAGATGATAGAATATAATGAAGGCAAAGACCACACACCATATGTTTAGCGCTAAAAGTGACCAATTCTAATGTAACGTTACTTATTAAATAAATGAAAGTCGCATACAAGTATTAAAATAGTTACGCTTAGCGCTAAATTCTAGATATCTAATGATTATAAAAAGCCGAATTTTGTAGATTTGTAGCAGTGTTGTCCAACAGTCAGGTTATTCAAATTACTGCTGTACAACGCTGATTTATAGATAGCAATTCTTATAAACTAAATAAATTACCCAAAGAAAGGCATCAAAGACACGAGCGTCTGCCTGCTCGGCCTACACGCAAATGCGGGAGAACATTGTGCTACTCGGCCGACGACTCGCCGTAACCATTGCTGCAGCTTTTGACGTCGGTCTTCCACGAACTTTGCATCCTGAAGATCAGCAACAATTATTTAACGCGTGAAAACACTTAGTAAGTCTATTTTATGTGAGGCTTTTTAAATAGCTTACCTTATTTCCGATTGTTTTTTTCGGTGGAAATTCGAAAGTCGTAACAATAGTGTCATGTTTCTTTAGCTCTCTATAAAGAGCATAGAATTGAGCATACCGTCTGTAAATGTTCCATTCTGTGTCTCTTATGCGTACATAAATCTATGTTTAACATAACAAATGCGCAAATTAGATTCGTCTCGATAGAAAATTTTGCTTTTCAAAGATACAAAGGCAAATCGTACTTGATAAACATGATGAATGTCAGATGGTTGCCCCGTGAGAAACGCCGATGGAATCCATATGTGAATAAGACACGGCGGTTCCGAAGGTAGATCGTCCTCATTTAACGGTCCGCGGAGACATTCCAATTCCGTTTGCAGCATTTTCACTAATCTGTCTCTGCGAAGATTCGAAGAAATGTCATTGCAAAGTTATTCGCGTGATTTACCAACAACACAAACCTGTTTGTCAACTGCATTGTCAATCTGGCATTAAATTCCATCAATTCAGCATGCATATCCGCGACCTGTATCAATTTCTCTTCGTATTGTCGCGCCTCGCTGTGATAATCCAATGTCGGATCTTCCTCGGATATCGTCGTGGAATTTGAATCTCTTCTCAACATCTGAACAGCGGTGACATACTTACGCAACTGTTGTCGTAAAAGTTCATTCTCTCTGCATAATTAAAAGATGGAATAATTTACAAATTATTATGTCATTTGATGTATCAACAAATATACAAATATATATAGAATGTATCACATGACTTGATAATTCTGATTATTTTCGTAAAGTAATTTAATTTAGATTAATTTACAAATTTATAGTAATTTTTTATTAATCGCTTTTTTTAATCTATCAAAAATTATCTTTATTTCGATCGAAATAATGAAGTTATGTGATTCATTCTGTATGCGTAGAAGATCTGTAAAACAATTGTTTATAAATTAATCAATTAATTACCTGTTCAATGTTTGCAACTGTAATTCGTGCCTTTCTAAATAATGTTGATGTTGTCTTTGAAAACGAGCTAACTGCAATCTGCTCGATATAGCATCTTCCCTAGCTTGTTCAAGCACTTCTGTCATTGCTAAGAGTCTTACGCGTAATGTGTCTACGTCCAAATTCTCCGGATCTACGTGGAAATCTAAACCAACTAATGGTTCTGTTGCCTCCACTGCGGGTTCTGTTACCTCTGATGAGTCCTAAACAAAAATAAAATTTTAAATAAGTTTATTTATAATTTTGCGCGCGCGCGTTTTGTATTTGAATCTTTTTTTTGCAAAGAGATAAAAATCTTTAACAAATTTTAACATTTTAGAGACTATTTCTTCGTTCAAAATATAAGATTTCAATACTAAGCAATGAAAATCAGTATGCACAGAGCTACATGCATTTTTTAAGAGAAAAAAAATTAATAAAAATTTAAACTCACATCTAAGTAATTTGGCAGAGTGACTAACATATCGTCTAATGTTTGCTCGAGCGACGACACAGGTACAAGGCCACCCATATTTCCAATATCCATTATTGGGGTTAATACTTTCTCTTCTTCGAATGACTCACTGCTAACATTGGAAACAAATTTTGTGAAAGAACCGCCTTTCTATCAGTTTTGTATCTTTTATATCTAATCATTTTAAAAGATATAGCTAACCGTTGTTCCCAGTTCGGAAGTTTTGTGACTACAGTACTATCGTTCGAATCAACTTGAGGTTGAGTGTCCGATAAGCATGGAGAAGTAGAATCTTTAGTGGACATTGTCATTGGAGAACTAGGGCATGTCGGTGGTGCGCTTATAGAAGTAGCAGCCTCTCTTCGCTCATCTTCCTCATTCTCGTCGTCAAAGGAAATTATACGAGTCGGTACTTTCTTTTTCCGTTTGTCCTGCTCAGACGCGGAAGGCTCTGTTTGATAAATCATAAGTATTTTATTAATTATTCAAACAGACTCAAAGTTTGTACTACATTGTTATAAAAAACTGAGAGTTTGTTAATAAATTCTACTTTATCAAGTGTTATAAAATTGAATTTGTTAAAAGAAAATTCAAATTTTTTTCTAAAAGAAAAATATCAATGTCCGTGGCGACTATTTTAATTAATAAACATGACTTCAGAGCATTGTGAATAATCTTATTTTCAATTTTGTTCAACAAATCTTTCGCATTAAGAATAATACTTATCATTGAAATTACCTGGAATTACTGTAGTAATAACCGGTTCTGACTGCTCACTCCTGTTTCTGTCTATTCCTTTTCCTTTTAGGTCATCAAGTTCTTCATTGTCTGTTCTTATCGCAAATAAAATTGTACCGAGGCCTATAAATCATGAAGTTAATTTATGCCGTTTGATAAGAATCGAATAAAGAAAACATCTGATAACAAAAGTACCTGCAGCTACATTAGGTAATACAGAACTCTTTTCCTGATCAAGCAAAAAGGCCCATTCCTCATAAAAGAGAGACAGTGCGTCAGGATTTATGACAGCATGTAAGTGCCGTTCCAGCGATCTTTCATTCAAGACAGCCCTCAGCCACGCTCTGCCTCGACCATAATCTGTATGTACCTTTCTCAACGTACCAAAACGTTCTTGTTCGTGCCAAGTGAGTTGTTCCTTTATGCATGGCCAGAAAGCTACGTCTATTATAACACCGGGTCTCGCGTTACCGCCAGAGACCAAGTCTGATACATGTCTGTGAAACAAATGTCGAAGAACATTTAATATTCCACACTTCTGTCGAATCGTGATTAAAATTTATCAATGGCAAAAATGTCATCTATGACATTTATCATCCCGCCTATGAATCACAGATTATGGATAAAAGCGATCTGTTTCACGACCTTGTGCGCTCAAGCAGGAAATCATACAAAGGAGATAAATAAGCTTAATTACGTTACAAAAGAATAAAGCTTAATCATATTACGACGTTGCCAAACATTACCTAAATGCTGAGTTGATTTTTTCTATGTAATTGGTTTTTAATCCGTGACTAAAAATTAATTCAAATATGTGGCAGAGCTGCGCTACACATGCTTCTGATTCTGTGGCTAATTCTGCGCGTCCACCAAACCTGATATGGCATTCTTTCGCAGCGACCAACAGATTTTCCAGTAGCTTTTCCTTTTCAGCTGCATGATCTACTATGTTCTGCGTATTCGGTACTATCGCTGACATAATACGCAAAGCCTAGGATAAACAACATCTTAAGAAACAAGTCAAGATTTATAGTTCCAGAAAGAATTCTGATGCTTCTTAAGCTCTCACATCTCCTGATTGAACGTAGGAAAAAAACTTTATTACAGACATTATTACAATTATATAAGACTTATGTAGTGACTCTGATTAAGAAATGCATAATTTCTACATAAGTAATGATGCATATTATATATGTATTTCATATCAGACATTTGTTAAAGAGAAACAATTAATATTTATCATAGATTCATTAAAATTCTTCCTGAAATTTTCTGCTAAAATTCAACATGACATTTTCAATAGCACAATCATATTTTTAAACAGATACTTATCAGATCTATTTTACATTTAAACATATTTTCCAACTTAATTGCATTTCTCAATTATTAGAATGAAATTGACTACAAAATAATATAAAAAGAATGTATTCTTTTTATTGTGCATCTCAGTTCTTACATTTATAAATTCTACTTTTCTAAAATCAAATGCATCAATGTAGTCATAAATATACACACATAAATCCAAATTGCACAGAGATTCAATTATACACAAGAAAAAAAATATACAGTTTCAAGAAATTTGTTGATTACATAAAAGGACTGAAGTAATATTGTTTATAGAGATTCTGGGCACTCATCATAAATGCAATTATCAAAGCTCATTAAAAACAGTAATTCAAAAATTGGAAAAAAACATGCAATTTCGATACAAAGAAATACGTTGTCGTCATTGCATTCATTAAAAATTATTTGATCTACGGAGAACTCGCAAATATATTTCTCGCAATATGTATTCGATTTTTGCATGCGATTCAACTTACGAAAAACATGTCAGAAAACTAACAAAGTCTGCGTAAAAAGTTTACAGAACACTGATACTTCGTGCTTCGATGCATCGCGGAGCAAGCTATTACATATAATTACAAATCTCTTCGAATTTCTCCCGGATGCTCGCGGTGCACGTTATCGTGAATCGTGAATCTGGGTTACGACCGCGTCGTCTCGCATTTACATGTCATCAGCTGTCGTATCGCTGCCATTGAACGTCGTGACACACAACGCGTAGAGAAACAAAGGAATTAGCAAGCTTACCATTTAAACGACGCAGTGAGGATCACTGCCTCGATTCGCTTTCACAATCGAAGATCGCGTTCATCAGTGATCCACGATACGGTGGCCGCGGATATTATGCTGGAATACGCGGAAGAGAGTCGCCCATCACTCTAGAGACACGACGAAATTGACGCGTCGTCGTCGCATGACGGCATTAAACACAGATTTGTCTTGTCGTCACAAAGAAACCGTAAAAATACGCGACGGTAGGGGCGGAACTGCCTCTCGTACGCATCACTGCCAATTGCAACAGCAAGCAGCACAAGCAGCTTGGAACAATGACGCCAGATTTGAGCGTAAGCAGCCAAGCAGCATGAGAAAGGGAATACCGCACACATACGCAAGCCACGTACATGTGAGCTTCGCGCTTCAGCTAGCTTCGAACACTAAAAAAGAGCAGACATACTATTTCTGTCTCTCTTCTTACCGAAACGGCAATGAACGGCGATATCATCGATATTCATGTCCTAAAAACGTCCTAAAAAAGACATCGTTTTTTAATTTTTTAACAATTAGTATTTTAAATTTTGTAACAAAAACCGTTCCAAGAATTTTAAAAGAGACGTTTTAATTATTTAAGTATTTTACGGGCATCCTAACACTGTCAAAAGTAGCTCAGAAGCGAAAAATTAAGTAGCCATAAGCACGTAGAAGAATTAAGATTACTCGCTGGAATCGCCATTTTATTTTGGGATTTAATAAAATGTTAACAGGAGCACATGATGATATAGGAGCTCACTTATCATAACTAGTGCGGTCGGTACACTTATTATCATGTACAGTCGTTATATTGTTGTTTTAGCTAAGCAAAAGGTGGCGCTGTTCCGAGTAACCTCCTACAGTTTATGTGCTCCTGTTAACAATTTTTCAATTCCGGCTAAAATAGAGCGTTTGTAGCCGTAAATTCAGCGGGTAATTTGAATTTTTCTACATGCTTGTTTGCGCTTCTGGGCTACTTTTGACAGTGTTAGGATGCTCGTAAAATACTTAAATAATTAAAACGTATTTTTTAAAATTGTTGAAAAATTTTTTGTTGCAGAATTCCAATGCCAATTAAAATTAAAAGAAATTAAAAAATATCTTTTTTGGGACATCCTAAAGATGTTCTTTTCAAAACGTTTTTGCATGCATGTCTGTATATTTAAAAAATAAAAAATGCAGGTAAAATACTTTAAAATAAGATTTAATTTTATAACTGTTTTTTGCTTTATTTTTAAAACTTTTGAAACCATTTTCATAAATGCACGGAATTGAAAATGTTAAGTCAATCTTGTATATAACTTGTCGATAGATAATTTTCTCTTTATAGCTAAGTGTTGAGGAAGTTGATTTATACTTAACTGATTAATAATAGGTAAAAAATAAATAATGACACATAAATAACACATTTTTCAACACATAAAACACTTATATTTGAAATATTTACAAAAGTGAAATCTGCTCAAGATTCAATTGTCATTACAATAGTCAAACATGTATAAATTGATTTACAAAGCTATTTTGCAAATTATTCTGAGCTGATTCACTTTTTCGAACATACATAATTACCTTTTCCTAACTGCATTTGTAATGTCTCAATATAAATATATACTATATATAAATTAAATCAAAGATGTAAAGAATTTTGCAAACTATAGAATGTACAGATATATTAAGTTTGGCAATTTAATCTAAACCTTCCTTTTTCTCTTTAATCGCCTCCTAAAAATAGATTGATGTTATAATAATGTGCATACAATATTGCTTTCATATTCTGTATTATAAGCATAACCTTAACCTTAAAACGTTCTTCAAACAATGACAGCTCTGCAATCAAATCAGTAATAGCATGCATAAAAGCTTCCTGAGGAGTATAATCTGACGTTGTCTGTATCCTAATAACAAACTTATGTTCCAGTGGATGAGGGACTTTGTAACCAGCAAATAATACTTGAGGATCCTTCAGTAATTGGCTGTAGAATAGAAAGCAATAACTAGATAGAAATAGAAAGCTATACAAATAAGATAAAGTATTTATATGCTTACTTGCGGATCATGTTTCCCAGAGTGTGATCCTCTTTGTTAACTGTAAAGATAGTAGCATTTGGTACCTTGGTGTCCTGTTCTTTTATTATTCTAAAAAAAACACGAGCGTGAAGAATTTCTTACAACAGAAATGAGGTTAGGAGCAAACAAATATCAGTATACTTTTTTTCTCCATCGTATAATAAGAAGGATTCAAAGGTTGGTGGTGCGTTCATTTTGTCTCGTGAATTATTAAAATTATTTCAACTGTTCTTAAACTAATCGCCACCAACACGGTGGCAATATATCACAAAGCACTACGCAAAAAAGCCAACTTAAAATAATCAAAATAACCTATTATAATTACAAACACTGACGATGCAGCTTTATATGCAGCGAATCGATAGTCGATTGTGACAATCGTTATCGATCATTAAAAGTCGATAATGTCGCTGGACCGCCATTTTATCTGCAATTTTAATAAAATGTTATTAGGAGCACATGATGATATAGGAGCTAGCTCAACTAGCGCAGTCGGTACATTTACCATCATGTACAGTCATTATGTTGTTCTTTTAGTTAAACAATAGATGGCACTGCTCCTGTTAACAGGAGTACATGTGCATAATTTGATAAAAAATCCAAATAAGGATCATGCATATATTATAGCAGAGAGAAACCTGAGAGGGGCCACGCTGCCGTTTTTCGTAAGACGCTTTTTCTAGGCTGTACACTAGCGGCGCGTACATCCATTTTATAGCCTGCATGGAACTACGGTGCCTTATTAGCGCCGTCTGTCGGTCGACCGTAGAAATGTCTTACAATATCATATTAGGAATTTCGACGCTGATTCACGGCATGGGGGGGGGGGGTTGTTTACGTTCGCTCTGTGACCTACGTATTTTATATTCTCTCTTCCTCACTCTCACACTTTCTCTCTTGCACACACTGATCGGCATGTATACATTCCTTTCCCTACTTCTTCCAAATAGTACTTATGCCAATTTGACCTTATCCTTGAGCTTGAGCTGGATTTTACTATTCGCACGGCGGCACTTGAACGAGACAGACCGTTTCGCGTATCGGCGCGTTATTCCCCCTACTTCAATTCTTATTACTCCTTACAATTTTCCACCTTCCTTTCCCTCCCAATCGTTACCTGTTGCGTACACTTTATCTTTTTCACACACACACATTAAAATATATTTTTTTTTAATACATAAAAAATATTTTGTATTGTGTTAATTGCAGAGAAAACCAGACTTACACATAGCGTTTGGGGGTTGTTTTGGTCGCGGCGTACGTGCTGTTTACGCATTCCATACTTTCGCTATCTCTTTCTTTTCTATCATACATTATCCTGCTTCGAATTCCCTACGTCTTACTTCTGCGCGTGTTATCTTCTAGGCCTGCGCAAAGTCCTTGAGGTATCCTGTGGTATTTTGCCCCTTACCAGTCGCACGGCGGCACTCGTACGGGTTGGTTGGTCCACATCATCCCTCCCCCTACCACTCTTACTACTTTCCACAGTTTTCCACCCTCTTCCCCCTTTTCCATCATTACCTGTTGCGTACATATTGTTCGGCGCGGAGTGTCGAACGCGTATTCCGTGCGACAAGCGATATCCGAGTTATACCTTTGTCCTTATACGACAAAATCGCGTCGGGAGTGTGTAAAATACCGTGTGATCGTCGTAATAAATGCGCGTCGGGAGTGTCGTTAATGCCGAGAGTTATAGCGAATCTATAGATGAACGCATTTTTGCTGTATGACAAATATTGGGACACGATTTTTTTTGACTTTAGGCTTGGCTCGGGGGAGGGAAAGGTCGGTTTCAATCATAAAATCTCCACTACGGCAGGGCAATCTTCGGTTCTACGTGCAGCGCGCTAGTTGTACAGATAGCCGGACTGTCGAAGGTAGTCGAGGACGGCTACCGGAGTTAGTCAAACGCTACCGATTGCTTTTCAGATGTCTTGTATCTAGTCGGTTGATTGGATGACTAATCACCTCATCTTCTTCGAGCTTATCTTTGCCTTCTGTTTTGAGAGAATCGTGCCCCAATTGGTAAATGTGGTCGTCTGAAACGCGGACGGAATTCGCGCGTAACGTCACAGCTTGGACAATTCGGTTCGATTCGCCTGTGATGTCGGGAGTGCCGTTCTAAGTATCGCGCGATTTTCGTATTCAGGTACACATGCGAGCAATGCATGCGCCGCGAACGCGTGTGATTCAATGTGAGTGCTTCGAAGGACCACTGAGAGGAGGAGGAGGAGGCTCAGGAGGAGCATCGGGCGCCGGCGGAGCAACTTTACGGTAAGCAATAATTCATTTATTTGTTGAAAATATTGCACATAAAATATTAGAAAGACAAAATATAACATTAGTTAATATTTATCATTATTAAAATTTAGTGGCATATTTTTTTACTTAGTAATTAAATAATTAAACTTTTTTAATAATTCTTTTATTACATATTTGCTTAGAAAACGAATTAAAAGTTCAATGTACTCAATATTTTTTATGATTTCACAAATATTTCATATTGTGAACGCTGCTATAATTTTGATTTATTTCGTGTTTTACAGATCAACTATGCAGATCAACAGAACGACAACTCCGCTGCTGCGCATCGATCGGTGAGTTAGTTTAATTTGTCTTTTATTATTAAGATAATGGATCAAATAATGGTGTAAAAATATATAAACGCGAGACACTTTGCAGGTCGTATAATTTTTATTACCTTATAGTAGTTATATCAAAATTTTATTCTCTCGTATTTTTTAAAAGTATTTTGAGTTGTACATGCATTTGTTTTTAAAAGAACGAAGTACTTATTTTTTTAGTTAATTTATATTAAATTTAATTATGTGTTACTAATACATTAAAAAAAAGCAAAGTGTTTCTAATTTTGATTTTGATTGAGCCCGAAGTTGAAGCAACTTTCATCAGCCTAATAGCCCTTTGAATCCATATATATTAAATATTAATCATATAATATTAAAAATATAATCATACACCAGAATACTTTGAATAAAATTATAAAAGGTACACTATTTCTTCGATTCATTATCTTAAAATGGAAGGCTAGGACTTAGATGCGTTGATGAATATTTAATCCTGGAATATTTCCTAAATGTATTTCATGTGATTGACAGATCAGAACAAAATATATTGAATTATTCAGAGAGTTTGTAGAATTTTTTGATGACAGAATTGAAAACAATTTTTATATGTTTATATATCTTTATTTAATAATGTATGCACAAGTTGTTAAAGATGGCCAAAAGTTGTCGAAAACAATGGTGCATATATTACTGAACAAAGATGACTCTAAACATAT